TATTTGATGTTAGAGTAAACCAGGTCTAAAGTGTTTTCACCCCGAGTTGCAAAATCCACATGTTGGTAAAAATAGGGAGAACAGTCTTCAAATTAGCCTAGTTAAAATCCCCAGCAATGATGAAAACACCCTCTGTGTGCAGATTGGAGCTCAGAGATAGCCTGGTATAGATTCTTCATTACCTCTTTAGTGTTAGCGCGGGGGGGCACGTAAACAGCAGTGATGCTAACCACACTGAACTCTCTGGGCAGATAGAACGGCCTGCAGTTAACAGTCAGAAACTCGATGTTTGGAGAGCAGAAACTTGCGACTGATCTAGCATTTTTACACCAGCTGTTGTTGATGTAAATACATAGCTCACCACCCCGAGTCTTACCACTTAGTTCTTTGTTCTATCGGCGTGGTATAGCGTTAGCCCCTCCAGGCTAATAGCATTGTCCGGTATTGCTGAATGCAGCAATGACTCCCTCAGAATGATGGCCAAGCAGTTACATATCTCCTCTCTTGAAGACAGTTCCAGTCGGATTTGTTTAGACATTAAATTCATTACACTGATTTTTTTTTTTATTATTTAAGAATCGCTTGCAAAAAATTTACCATATAAAAATCACCTGCAAAAAAATCTCCTGATATCAATACAACTGTCACAAATTTCCCTGATATAAATCAACTCTGATAAATTCACCAGCAAATATCAACAGCTAAAATTTGCCTGTATGTGTTTTGACCTTTTGGTGACCTCAAGCCAAAGCAATCAGGTCGCAATCGGGTCGAGCGGCTTCTAGCCAATAAGATAATCTGATTTGGTCATGTGAAAAAACTGTTGGGCTCAATTTTGTTCCGGAGGAAGCCCCGGTGGCGACATAGCAAACCTGGGCAGTTCTGTTACTCCAGAGTAGTAGAAACACTAAGGCACGCTAAAAACACTCACCACAGGCTGGAGAGAAATAATCTGGCCCCTATGACTGGATGCAAGTGGTTAAATAGATAGAAATAGAAATAGAAAAAAAAAGATTTTCAGCTTAGGCATTTTTCCATCTACAACAGCACAATCAAATGCGTGCGTCTCAAATGTGAAACACCACACAGAAACATATTGTGGATTAATCAATCTATCTTCAAGCGTCACACAACAACCATCACCAAGACTTCTATAATGCAGTTTTACTGGCTTTGGTTATTAACACAGACGCGACAGTTACTGGCCAGAGAGGAAGAGGAAATGTTGGGGCCGGTATGATTAAGGAGGGCCGGCACTCGCACGCTGAAATCAGGACCGGCCCACCGGACAAAGGCCCTGTATCACAGATTACCAGTCTGAAGCTGTGTACAGCACATTGTGGCAGCTGTGGTTATTTTAAAGGGCTTTATAAATAAAGTTGAGTTGAAATAGCAATTAATACCATAAAGCTCCCTCAGGAATGGTAACAGTAGATCCATCTGAAATTAATGATTTATTTAAGCAACTCTATGCAAATCTATACAAATCAGAACGTTGCCATGTCTTGGAAGAACAAGATACATTATTAGAAAATCTTTAGTTTCAGACACTTGCAGAGGGTACAAAACAAGAGTTGATGTAAACTCAACCACTGAAGAAATATCTCAGGCCATACAGAGTATTAAAAGCGATAAAGCTCCTGGGCCAGATGGCTTCACGGTTGAATTCTTCAACACCTTCAAAGATGAAGTTATATCCCTGCTTTTCAGCATTTATGAGGAAGCATTTAAAAATGTAGTTCTTCCACCTACCCATGCAATAATAGGTAAACCCCTCACAGTAGAACATTAAGTCTGACGGGGGTAGATACTGAAATACTTTATGTTCTAGCAAAAAGATTAGCTCCCTTTATCTCAAAGTTAGTTCATAATGATCATAATGATCAAAATTAGTTCATAATGAACAATCCTAAACATAATCCATGAGAAATGGGATCCAGCTTTGATATCACTCAATGCACGCCAGGCCTTTGATAGATTAGAATAGTCATCTTTTTAATGTTCTACCAATATATGGATTTGGCTGCTGTAAT